TATTATCTTCATTTTAATGTAAAAATAAAAAATATTTATTAGTAAAATTGAAAACTTTTATATAAAGAGAAAAACCCACATTTTATTATTTTTAATTAATAAATTTTAACATTATTGCATTATTTCTGATTGTCACTGCAATTAATATTATCTTCTAAAATAATATACAATAATAATAAACTATCCAATATTAATTATAATATGAAAATTAATTCAATAAAGTTCATATTATAACAATATAAAATTTTTATGTAAAATAAATTTCAATTTCTATTATATTTTTAAATCATTATATATTTATATATTTTTTCTTCAAATCTAAAATTTAAATTTGTATTTTTATTTGTTTGAATCTAGCAAGTAGGATTGTTAATGGAGCACTCCGGATCATATTAAAACATATAACCCATTTCGAAGTAACTCTGGAGTGGGTTATATGTTCTAATATGATCCGGAGTGCTCCATTAACAACCCTACTAGTAATACTTGATTATTTTATGTATCATTAACGAATTTTCTTTTTTGTGCTTTAGTATTTTCATTGAGATTAGATTGTTCTTATTAGATCATGGCATAAACAAAGATTAGAATAGAAAATTTAAGCGAATTTTCCAAAAATCCTCAATATGGACATATTGTAGAAACTTTTACAAATCAAAATTTATAGTAATTGCAAAATTACTAGTTCACACTTTGATCGAGAAGAATAAGACTCCTTTTACAATAGATCGACACTTATACTTATCTGCACGATATATAAAATGCATGCGAAGTCTGCGCCTTGCATAGATTGTTCTAAAAAAAACAGTTGCGCAAACTAATTTTAAATATCAAAAATGAGTATCTTTCACATACAAAAGTTTTGACTTGAATGAAGCCCATGGCCAAATTTACTCTATTAGATACATGTATAAACAGCATAACAATAAAAAAAGAACAACAAAAAACTGTAGCTAGAGTTTGAAATAAACATTTTTTGTCAAGGATCATTTTATAGCATGGCTTTATAATGTCAACCGAGACTGCATTATTAGAACTCATTTTTTAGCAGGTTTACATTTAAGTTTAATAAAGAAAATGATGTTATTCCACATGGTCATAACTCATAATTTATTTTTTATTTTCCCTTTCGTTTGAGGAATAAAATAAGCGTCAAACTTTATGATTTGGCTACATATGACAATCAATTAATGCTCCGGAGTAATTCCGAAACGCTTATTTGTATGCTGCGTTAAATTCTTTTTTAGTTTATAATCAATTTTATTTATTACCATTCACCAATTCCTACTTTTAGGAAGAGTAAATCCGACACCAAAATTCATTTCGGCTCTTTTATGTTCTGTTCTTGTATTCGTGTCACATTTTGTGTTGTCTATGACAATAAAACATTAGTTGCACGACATTATAACTTTGTTTGATCACGTGATTCTGCATCTACATGTAATTGTTTTGTCCAATAGGAAAGTGAAAAACAATAACAAAACCCGTTGATGGTGGTGTGGTGGGGGGTCATTCTACGAAATGCATGAAATGCATGGGTAATCTGGGAACTAAAGATACTAAAATGAACCGGGTCACTGCTTTATTGAGAATAAACACGTTTTTTCCCATCCGAAATATTCAATCTTTTATATATAATTTTTAATAATAACTAAAAACTTTATAAATACCGAACAAGAATTCTTGCTTTCTGATTTTTTCGTTTTTTGGTATTTAATTCTCTTTTAGTTCTTCTATATCATTTTTCATCCACCAATTTATAAATAGATCACGTATTATTACTCTCATCGTTATTATTACTGTCATTCATCGTAACTCTCCCGCCACAACTTTCTGATAATAAATAAAAAATATTCTTCTATTCACAAACGCGTAAAAAATGCAATTCCAAGCACAAAATCTCAAACGTAAACTTGATACCGAAGATGAAAGTCGCAAGGTTTGTATGAATATTGATCAATAATATTCTTAGTATCGATGATATTGATAAATATTTCTTAATATAGAATACGTATATGCACAAAAGACATAATCATCTTAGTGATATGATTAACGTTGTCGCGTTCAATCACAGTATTCAATCAAACATATCAACTCCAACAACCGAAGATGAAATGGATATTGACTTGCCTCTTTTCATTAATTCAAGTTCAACTGCAACATTTAATTCAAATCCAAATCAATTCCATCATCATCAAACCGAGGTGATACCCGCAATAATGCTGAGCGCGATGAAAAGTCAAACTCCGTCGTCATCAGTTTGTTGCGTTAAAAATCTTCAACATGAGAAATTAATTCGTTTCGGTTGCATGTATTGATAATGATGATAATGATGATAATGATAATAATGATAAAGATAAAGATAATAATAATAATAATAATAATAATAACATGACTACTAACGACGACCACGAACGATCACGATAATCTCAATCATCGTTTCATATTATATCAATGTCTCAATAGCTTCTTATTTTGAGGGAACAATTCTTAATGTATATAGCGTTTTTTATTTTCCTTTTCTGTTAATTTTTTTTTAATACAATACAACAACAATGAGTAATTTCTATATTAAGTCAGTTTAGTTTGTTCTAGAATATCACAGAGTCCCAATTACTTTGTTATATTTTACTATCCATTACCATTAGTAAAAAAAAAAAAACCAATAGTTCAAAAAGTATCGTATGTGCTGTGCTGTGCGCTGTAAGTTTAAATTTTTGTCAACGCAAATAAAACATTATCTCACGCTGAGACAAAGCATTTTGAAGAACAATGAACAAAGGCCTATCTTTGTCGTCGTTTAGTAAAATGTGAGATTATGTACGTAGTTTATTTCATTTTTGGTTTTGTGCTTGCGAAGATCTTGTCCTTACTGCGCACAATGGGCATGTGCCGTTTTTGAGTCTCTGGATACCATGTGTGAGCCACGTTTTTTCTTTCTAGGAATGAGTTCAGCATCTCGCGTTATTTTTACGGATAAAGTCGTAATTGGTGCGTTTTCCGTGTGAATAAGAAGATATACGTATCGGTATGTAGTTGTTCACTGCCCGTGCAGTATGAAGCCAAATCGAGTTCCAATTTTTGGCATGCATAATAAATTGGCGAATGGAGATTACAATGGATTTTGTTCACATTTTCATTCCAAACATCAAGAAAAATAACCGTTTATTTGGTGTGTATTCTTAACGAAAGTTTGGCTTCACTATATCGATACGATAGAATTGGTTAGAAAAATATCAAAAAGTATGAACATGTATACTTGAAAATACCTTTGACGTTTCTTTTGCTATGAATATTAAAAAATGTTTTATTTTCCGCAAGCACAGCTACCTTCAGCACAGCCGCATGTTTCTCCACATGTGCAATTTCTTTTATTTGAAAAGACGAAATAAATAAATAACGATAAATCTTTGATAGCATATAAAGATAATGCTAAGGGCTAAATGTTATTTGACTAATCATAATCCCTTTCACTGACTCAACCTAAAAAACCGCATGCACGAAACTTACTCGTTTCCGCACGCAGGTCCATCACCATAAATTCTCATATCAGCGTTCGGTCCACGAGAGAGCACTTCAGCTTGACTTGAAACGTAAGTACAACTGCACAATCCTTGGGTGGACAACATTTTTTTGCAAATTTTTCAGAAATTTGACAGCCAGTCCAGTTATTATTTTATAAATATTAAATTAGAACAGTTCATGTGCGTGGGAAATACGTATATTGTGGTCATAGAAATCATTGCCCCTGCATCTTATTATATTATGTGCATCAAATATTTTGATATAGAACAAAGGGAAATAGTTGTTTTCTGCATGTCATACCGATACATAACAGTAACCCTAAAGTTTTAAACTATTATTTATATTTAGCTTCTTTATAAAATTTCTATACAAAACATAAATAAATACAAAAATGTACAATATCTATATTTATAGAATACTATTGCTATATTTTTAGTTTTTTAATTACTGGTTGGAGTCCACATTAATCTCAACAATGTCATTTTTTTCGTCTGTTGGATGTTTAGTATTTTCGTTATTAGACGAATCAAAAGAACTTCCTGCAGTAACCGCCATTTTCCGTGTACAAACTTTTTCTTCCAACTTATCATACCCGGCAAAGTTATAGTATAATTTAGCCAAGATAAATGTCAGAATAAATAGTCCTAAAATCGCATAACCAATCGTGCCAAAATCCTCTCCTAAATTCGCAAAAAAGTTCCAAAACGGTCCGTTCAAATCCGCTTTCTCGCTGATAATATTCAATAATTCAATCCCACCAATCGAAAATGCCACGGCAACTGAAAGGAAAGTAATCACTAGATTATAATATATCTTACGAACCGGATTGATATATGCCCATGTATAGGTACCCAAGCTTAGGATACCATCAATGGTGTCGACTAATGCCATTCCAGCGGTAAATAATAAAGGAAAGAATAAAATCTGCCAGATAGGGAATCCTTGAGCAGCTTGAAATGCTGAAATTCCGAGTAGTCCAACTTCGGTGCTCGTGTCAAATCCGAATCCGAATAGCACTCCAAGCGGATACATTTTCCAACTTGCATCAACGAATCTGAAAACTGGTGCAAAAAATCTGCCAAGTAATCCACTTTTATTAAGGATATCATTAATATCTTCTTCTTTATAAGAACCAGTTTTTTTGAGGCGCTTAAAAGATCGATATATCGAGAGGAACACGATCAAATTCATAATACCGATCACGAAAAGAAACGTCGCGGAAACTGCAGTGCCAATTAAACCTCCGGTATCACTAAAGTTACCAAACCTATTCTCAAATGTCGTTGCAGTCACAGCAAGTGCAATTGAAGTTATTATCACAATTGTTGAGTGGCCCAGCGAGAAAAATAGTCCAACTGCAACCGGCCTATTTCCAGATTGAAGTAATTTACGGGTAATGTTATCGATCGCGGCTAAATGGTCAGCATCAACCGCATGACGAAGTCCTAGAGTGTATGCTAATGTTGCAGTTGCAATTTGTCCGGGATAATTACGAAATAAAAGAGCGCAAGCAATCCAAATTCCAACGTTAACTAGACTCAATGCAGATATAACCAAGATAATTTTACGAGCTAATGGTGAATTGAAATTAAATTTCCTATCGTTGAATTCATTTGTCATTATGTTAGTATTATTTACGTCTTCTTTTAATGCCAATTCCCGCGTGTTGTGTTCTTCGACTTTTACGATAAAGTTGGAAGCTTTTTTTTCATTAATAGACGTTAAATTGTCATCATTAACGTTCTCATTATCATTATCATTATTCATTTATGATTGTCCTATGGAAATAATTTTCAATCAAGAGAGATGAAGTTAGGTTCTTTTCCGATTCTGGAATTAAAAAAGTACTCTTCCAAAAATTAAATTTCTAAAGAGAATCTTATTTTTTCGAATTAAATATTTTACTTACTGTATACTGGTGCATTTATCAGTTACACAATTTTAGTGCTAGGTACCCTCACTGATTACGAAATTTCTGATTACGACCAATCAAAGGAAGAAATTCCTTTGTAAGTATCACGTGAATTTACGAGAGTCATGATAACTTTGCAAGAGTTCCACAAGATTTTTTCTTTGTCCATTGATGAGACTTTAGAAGTTAGATTTTTTTACGGCCGAGAATTTATTTGTACCATATGAGCACTCGTACCATGCGCGCACTTTTATGCGCGCCGTTTCTTCGATAATTAAGAGATTAATGCAGATACTAATTTACAATTAATTATTATAGTTATAGTCTAACGCTATATATCCTGATATAAAGCTAATGTACCACTAATTAGTAAATCTAGGAAGGTGTGTGCAGACATTATAACTTTACACCTTAGTAATCAGATTCCCCTTTTTCACTCTTTCCACGTTTCGCGCATTTAACTCCTTTGTGACTTTGAATAAATTACTTTCCCAATAGAAATCTAGACGTACTCGAAAAATATAAGGAAAAGCGGGATAACACCGATTTGCAACACGATCCAACAGATCATAATTCACCGATCTTGCAAGATCTCCTAGACAGATATCTGGCTTAGTGTCCAGTTTTATAGAGGAAAGTGTGTCTGGTACAATTCCAACTCTAAAGAAAAGAAAAGGGTTAGCTAATTAGTATTAAGATGAAGAGAACGATTATTCTCTCGAAAATCCAATAATTATCTTACGTTTCATCAATAGCCTGCCACTTTACACGTCCATTCTTTTTATCATTCTCGATTATATTAGTGGAATTTTGACACCATTCTGTAAAACTTTGATCTAAACGTGCGGCACTTCCGGCTGGTGCGGTGTATGTATAGGAATCAGTCAACCAATAACTTTTACTATTAATCCAAGGCTTACGATTCGGCGTCGAATCATAAAAGTAACCGAAAAAAACCACGATTCGTTGATTAGTTTCAATCATTTGTCGTAGAGTTGGCCATGGTGCGTTATTATCTTCTCGTGTGACTAGCATTGAATGTCCCGGTTCCGTAATGAAATATTGTTCCAATTTTGATTGAATGTCTCCCGCAAGTTTTGCGTAGTCACCATCTCCGTCGTTGAATTCAATTGTTAAAATTTCATTTGGGTTTGCATCCAAAAAATCACGTATCGTTTTGAGTACTGGATCAAATCCATCTCCAATTGCTCGAAACCCATTTTTGCCATGGCATCTGACAACTTCTCCGGTGTCTATAAGAACACAAGAATCGAAATCGAAAAGACGGATTCCTATTGAAATAGTATAAATATTTTGATTATTATTAGATAATAAAAAAATTATCCAGATTAAAAATACTAACCATCTTTTAACTGTGTTGCCACATCATGTCCCACATTATTTTCCCAAAGACACTCAATTATATTTTTTGGTACTTGATTCTTAATGCAAAGAACTTGAAACACATCACACAATTTCGAAATAGGTTTGAGTTTGTTACCGCAAATAGCGGCCGAAGATTTACAATCAAATTTTAGATCATACGCGCCACTATTATGAGTGCCAGGATATGTCTACGACAATGAAAATTGTCAAAAGGAGATTAGTTATAAAAATTTGCCCTTTAACGTTAACGTTAATATTTGAATTTAAATTTAATTTTACCACTTGATCATATCGCAAATCACACAGATCTGCGCTCCCATTACAAATTAAGTCTCCTCTCCGACTAAGAGACTTTACTGTTGGAAAAGCATCGGATTCTTGTAGTATATTCGCTAATAAAATAAAAGATATTGCTAAAATTAAGCAAAGAAAATTTATCGACGACATTTTTTGTATTTTAAGATTTTTATCTATTCTATAGATAAAAATACTCGATTTCTATATTTTTCTTTATTATCCAATCTATAGATAATAATATGTTTTCTATTTATCTATTCTATAGATAATAATGCTGTTCTCTTTTTTTCTTACCAGTGCGATCAATTTATATACGAGCAAAGAACAAAATTTATCAGTCGTTCTTGTTATATGCATTATACATCCATGTACGCGTGTCGGGTTTACTTTGAAATCCTTATAAAACCAACAAAAAACGCACCTAGTTCTAGTTGTTTTACTCGTGGTTGTCGATCGGATGATTGGTTAGATTTTCTCTTTGTATCCTAAAATGACAATCCTTCATATAACTTTACCGTATGTTTGATGTAACCCGATTTTGTGTATCTCGCGGGTTTAATCAATTAGCATCCGTGTTATCGATATCGATATGGTGCAACTCAACAATAAATTGTATGATTTAACTCCCTAATTAAGAAGTTGTAGAACAATAACTACGTATATTGTCAAATTTGCAAAATTAGACTTTATTAAATCGCTAAATTTGCACATTTTACAATGCCAATATATAATCATCTAATTGTATATTGTTTATATAACTTGCATTATTTTACAGCTAAATCGCCAGTAAGGAAACATAAATCAGGCAACCTCCTCTCTAGTCGCATAATTGGACATTTGGGTTATCGTTATGTCCAAAACATTCAAATTTTTTTTTATAACAAATTGTGATAACAAAATTGATTCAAATGTCAACACTGTAAAAATAAGCTAGAGTAAATAAAGTTTATCGAGGAAAATAGACTTTTCGTCTTTAATTTTTGATTGTTATTGCGTCAATAATTCAAAATCTCAAACTCACGAAAATCAAAAAGACTATAATTCGTAAAGTATCGAATACAGGGAAACCTCTCTAAGTGCACCCTCCTTGGGACCATATTAAAAAAAGACTCTGTGCACTAGAGAGTGTGCATTTATAGAGAGTAAATACATGTAATAATACATGTGATAAACATGAATATGGTCACGTCACGTGTTATTTTATAATAGCCAAAAAATTCAATACATACCGATACGTACATATCTATAACAGTGATTTCAAAGAAAGTTGCTCATTCTTTTGAATGAGATCTACCATGAATTAACGCCACTAAACCTATAAATAATGAAAAAGATATTAGCAGTCAAATAACGATATGTTAATAATACGTAAATCTATTTACGAATTTACCTCGAATAACACCATACATTAACAAGCAAATCATCGTCGCCAAGCACATTTGAACTAAACAAGACTTTAATTTTTGACGTTGATACGGTCGTTGTAACAATGGAGTCAACTCTAATGATTCTTGGTCCATGGTATATGTTGCAAAATATTGAATGCTTGATATTTATTTATCTTCTTGAAAACTAAACTTTTGTCAAAAGTTTATGGTCAAATGGTTTATAAGGTGAAAAGGTTAGTTTGACTATTGTGATGTTTAATATTGTAAAAAATTACCAATATCTTTAAAAATATAAATATATACCCATTCGTCAAAATACCCCTTTCACCTTGTTATTTAGGGTATCTATTATTATTTGACGAATTGTATGGATTGTATCATTCACTCTCATTGTTGTGGTAAGAAAATCGAAAAATTCAGTTATACGTGTAAAATTTTCCCATGAATAATATCATCTAACGTTTGTATTTTATAAAATGCATAAACTTCTTTACTAAGAAGTAAATTCAAAATTCAATCCGTAAATATGCTCAGAAAGGGCCTATTCTATCATATTTACGGATTGATTTTGTATTTACTTCTTGGTAAAGAAGTTTATCCATTTTATAAAATACAAACATGCACCATACTTGCGTCATTATTCATTTATAAAGTTATCATTTTATTATTCCTTGAATTTACTTACGTATACAATCAAACCATGTACGTAGTCATCATATTTTTGGAATCAAATTATAAGGAAAAACCTCTTTATAAGCACACTGTGGATATATGGAGGTATGACTGTATTTCAAATAAAAACCGTTTATATAAAATGTTTCATTCATTAATTTGTGTTTTAATAATAATAATAATTAATGCTAATAATAAATATCGATATACGAGAATTCGTGAAACAAATGTTTGTTGATAGCAGAGTGCATATAAATAAATATTTGGAATGCTTTATAAATCAACTCTCAAAAGCTCATCAAATTTAATCCCTGCCCTTGGTACAAATTTCAGGTTAAAATTAGAAGGTGCACTTAAATCGAGGCCGTAAGCTTCACCTTTCATATTCAATTCGAATGGCTGTCCCGTTTTGGGATCGATTTCTCGTTGAATTGTGAAATAAGTGAGAGTGTATGCGACAATTGTGCACAACATTCGTTCTGCCAATTCTTTTCCAATACATCCTTGTGGTCCTTTACACCAGACCCATGGATCTTCCCAGTCATTCTTGAACTGTTTTAGTTGACCATTTGCGTCCAGAAATCGTTCCGGAATAAATCTTTTAGGTCTATCCCACAATGCTGAACTGAAATGCAGTGGATTAGTGTTGACTAACATTGTACTTTTCGCAGGGATATGATATCCTCGATAGACATCATCGACTGGTATTGCATGAGGAACTGTGAAGTAACCTAAAGGTCTATATATTTGATAAGTGAGTTAATCAATGAATAATTATTTACTTCTAAAGAATAATTACCTAAATCGAAGACATTCCCTTATAACAGCACGTAAATATGGTAATCTCGCATAGTCTTTTGGACTTGGATAATTTCCTTGTCCGATTAAACTATAAAGTTCACGTTGAATTTTGTATTGTTCTTTGGGAAGGTAAGAGAGTTGAGCGAATATCCATCTCTGTTGACATGTCACAGCACCAGTTCCTCCGAATAAAAACATCGCAATTAAATGCAACGAATCGTATTCGTCGAAGGTCTGATGATCAATTTCTTCATAAAGCTGCTGCACAGTTATTCCTCCTTCGTCGATTGTTGGTAATTTTAAATTCAAGTTTTCATTTCTCATTTTCATTTTTTTATCATTAATGCTTTTATTGTAAGTACTATCATTATTTTTTCTTATTGATCTCAAAATCTGAGCTGCAAAACAATGTTGTCGTTCTTTTTCCGTCGTAACACGTTGTTGTAAATCAACAATCAATTCTTTAGCAGTATCAGTTAACCGTTTTCTTGCTTTCAATTCACGTGATTTATGTTTTCTGACAGACGACGGTGTTCTTGATAGCCAAGGAAATGCTCCAGTTATTTTACTATTGGCGTCCATCGAATAAGATTCCGCCAATGAATTATAGAATCTTTTAAATGTTGGCGCGGTTAATTCTGACCTGCTTCCGTATGTTATCGTGGCGAGAACATTTAAAATGCAAATTTTTAAATCGTCAGTTGGATCGGTGGGCCCGCTTGAGGTTTGGTATAATCGGTACATGAAGTTTCGAACTTCACGATGTATGATGTTTTGATAGTGTGTATTGACAATGTATCGTGTTATTGCTCTTCGTGTTAGTGAATGCATTGTTCTCCAGTATGTTCCATACTATGGTACGATGGATTATATTAGATAAATGATTCTCTTTAAATTTGACAATGAATTTTTTAAAAAATGAGATGACCTACAGGTGCAATTTCAGAATCTCTTGGTAAAGTTTCCTTTGGAATATAATGTGACTTGATCAGTAATGTTATTAGTGTTTAATCGCAAAAATTAAACTTTCCGAAAACGAAAGGGAAATTTAAAACTCACAGAACTCGAAAAATAAATTGCACCTCCCCGAATTACAAGGTCGTCTACAATCTTGTCATCATTGATAATAGCATATACCTGTGGACCCAGTTTAATCTTAAAAATAGGCCCATACTTGGTAGACATTTGATTGAACGCTATATGCATCGGGTCGCGTATCTGATGTAGATTACCGATAAACGGTAATGAAGACGGGCCAGGAAGTATTTGTGAATTATTCGACCAATTGTCACTGTCGTTTTTATTTTCATTTTGGGAAAAAGAGGGCATGTCTTTCAATGAAGTTTTTTTGCCCATTCGGAGACTTTAATCAGTTATGATAATTATCGTAAGAAAGAAGGTTTAGGAGTTGGACTCTCGCGAGCGGATCCGTAATAAAAAAGAGTGTAAGTGTTTTTAAAGAAAGAAGCAGCAAAAGTAAGAAAGCGTGATAAAACTTCAACTTTTGCACTAGTTATGATATAAGTGTCCATGTTTGACAATCGACACTGATAACGATAAATAGTTATGCAAAAGAAAATTATACCAATCTATTGGTTACTCATGTTTCTAACTCGATTACAATTGTGAGTGCAAAATAAATTAAACTCTGATGTTGTGCAACACCCACCAGTACATTATTGGCTAAAACAATAAAATCAATTACCAATCAAGAAAATCCATACTTTATGGTAACAGTAATCTTAATAATTTAAAAATGCAGAACACGTGTACAAATCTAGACTTTAATAAAATTATCGTTATACAGTAAAACCTCTCTCTAAGTGCATCCTCTATAAATGCACACCCTCTCTAAGTGCACACTCTGTCTGTTTTTTTACTATGGTCCCGTATTGTTTCGCTTTACAATTTACAAAATATTAGTTTGGTTTCATACATATTTACACAGAGCCAATCATATTGATAAGACAAATATTTTTTGATAAACACGAGGTATTTTTAGATGCAAAACTACGAGACTGACAAATCTCTGAGAAAAATTACCACGTTTTTCTCAAATCATACCCAGGGAATACGGTACGGTATGAGAGGATTGTTGATTAAACTTGCCGCTCGTAATGTAATATTACAATTGCAACTGTTAATACAAATTGAAGGAACAATTACGGTACAGTCAGACCCCGTTGTTATCAACCCCCGATAATAACAACACCCTGCTGTTAGCAGCATTGGTCGCAGAACAGATTTCAAATGATATTAACTCTAACCCCGTAGTTATCCGCTTTCGTATATATCAACAAAATAGCCCGATCCCATGATGTTGAGAACAGAGAGGGACGACTGTATTACAACAATTCGTAATACCGCTAAAGTACTCCCTCCTAACCAAAATATCCTCTTAGTGGAGAGCATAAGATCCGGGTACTATATATAGAATGATGACGAATGAGGGTATAGACACAGACAGGTAAAAGGGATAAGGTTTAGTAATTTGAAAACTAAACTTAAAGTAAACCATATTAAACTTGAGTGTAAATGCATTAGTTTATCACGAAGCAAATAAACCTGAATGGAATTGGAAACCTTACACACCCCTACAGTATATTTCAAAAATGTGAATTTGTCACTTTGGTACACGATATCTCAACATCCAGTGATCCTGTTCGAATAAAAATATTACCATTAGATTCGTATAGTTGAGACGAATATTTTTATTCGAACATGATCACTGGATGTTGAGATATCGTGTACCATAGTGACAAATTCACATTTTTGAAATATACTGTAGGGTGTGTAAACCTGAAGATAATTGGAACCCTTGAGTAAATGCGTTAGTTTATCACGTATTAACGTTAAACCTTTGGTAAACCTTAACCCCTTTTATCGGTGAGAAATCTATATCTGCTCATAAGATCTCCATTAAACACGATCGTTATATCCAGAGTATTTTAGCCTACATGTGAATATCAAAATAAACACAATACGTATGTGCTAATTTGACTCCCAAAACAATTTAGATTTGGTAAATCGGTTGTGGAATATAGCAATAGCAACGCATCAAGTTAGTTTTGGATACATTTTTTTCTAGAAGATTTTTGTTTCAAATCAATTCTAAGAAGCGATTTTCTCGATTTAACAAAATTGATCGATTTTTAGAATTAATACAGAAAGTTGCAACGATACGACAATGTTGTAAATTATGGTATTACGGAAGTGTTGTAAGATAACGGTTTTGTTATGACATTCATGGATTCGTGTTGCAATCATTTTTAGTTATGGGTGGCAAGCTTATTGTTTAATAAAAGGAATGCAACAATAATCATAAATTATACCCTGAGTATCATTCAGTTTTCGCAATTTTTTCCAGGTGTATAATAAAATTTACATTGAATTTATTGGATATTAGATTTGTTAAAAATATAGAGAAATGTTCTGAAGAAAGATAGTTTAGCTTGAAACTTGTTAAAAAATCGATAAATGTTCTTTCAAATTTCTTTTTAGCATAGAATTACTTGTAAAAAAATAAGATGACTTTGAAATTTATTTCGTAATAGACCTGTAACCTGAAACAATATTCAAGATTGCGATAATTAGTAAAAAATTCCGCAAATATCGCCATATCGAGAATTTGAATTTATTATAAAAATCGTTGTACATTTTATTCGGGTTGTCATCGCTATATCGAGAATTGATTAGTCATCATTATAATGGAATATCTGCAATCAATTACGTATACTGCGGGTAGTAATTTTTTTTATTTCACTCTTCGCCTGCTATTTTGAATATATCTCCCGCGGCATAACAAACAGACCGTTGTTTCTTTAAGCTGTACATATCGGATTTGACGTAACCAGTTACGGATAACGAACTCGGTCAAACGGAAATTAGTGGAATTATGACAATATATAGCAAAATAGACTTTTTTCTCGAAAATTCAATTACAGCGAACACAAACACCACATAAACATGGACGACTAGGATTTGTGATTAAAAATTGCTGTATTTTACGATTTAAAGTACTCTCATTATTTTTTTTTACACGATAAGAGAGTAGGGTACTCTTTACATGGGGATACTATGACTAGGATTGATATCTACAGTCAAAGCTGGATATAATATAGGATTTTCTGGACATTTATTTTCTACATAGTCAATCCCGTTAAACCAAACACGAATAAAACTAAAGTTGGTTTCAGGAACAGTTATAGTAATCTATCTCGATAAACCGATCTCTGATTATGCCGCCGGTGTAAAAAGCTAAATTTCCTGCCAAAAGGAGAGGGGAGGAGAGGGTGGTACTTTTCTGAATTTAAAATTGGACAAATATTTGTAATTTAGTTATAATGCAGTTATAGACACTGTAATTTTCCGCATACTTTAAACCTTAATCTGGTCCAATTTTTAGTAACACCAATTATCTTTCCGCAAAATATATTCACAGTGCAATTTCTTAATACTAAATCAATAGTCTTGTGGTTAAATTAAGGTTTATATTTTCTACGGGGCGGGGGAGGGGAGGTGGTTTATGCGGCAAATTACGGTACTTAATACCTGCATAAATAAATGTTCGGATATTTACTTTATAGAACAGTGATTATTAAAAACCAAAAAATACATCAATTAAGCAAAAATTTAATATTTACACATGCATAAACCAAACTTTTTTTCTACGAATTAGAATTCATTTTGACATTTAGATCATGAACTAATAATGTTTTAAGATATGTTATGGCAAGCAAAGAAAATATACGAGCTAATACATATTTATTAATTGATTGCGTGCACGTGCACGCACACAGAGTCAAGAAAAATCTTATGATATTGGAATATTTAATTTTCTATGAGTTTTTTCAGTATATTTCCGAAACAAATTATAATTCCGAGACACAGATGTAGCTGCTTTGTTGAATTATAGTCAAATCCTACATTCTATCTTTGTCTAATATTTTCTTAAAGAATTGGTTCTTACAAAAGAAAATCTAATAAGTAGAATAAATTACTTGAATTTGATTGGTAAGTTTAAAATTACTTTGAAGAAATTATCTGAAATCTGAATGTAAACTCTATTCTAATTATAATTTAATATTGGTCATGAATACATAACCTGTAAAAATAGCAAGTAATATTCGTGTATATTTGACGGGCATAAACATCTGCGAAATACATTTACGAATAATGCACTTGTTTTTTCCTTTTAAGTAAATTTTTGCGAGATTATGTAACTATTATATCTAAAACTATATCTTTGGTTTGGATGTTTTGTTAACTTGACTTTTCATCTATGGCGTATCATTTTTGGTATCTATCACCCGCGGAGTAACAAAGAATGCTTCTTTAAGCATTAAATTGAATTTGGATGCACTAATTTCGGAAAGGAATTTTAAATCACGCACGTATTACAATGAAAACTGGTGGTCCGCGCGTCTCGGTGTAATGAATTTTTTTGGCAATCGTCCAATTCAAAGTACATGTAACTGCTGCAGGAAAATTATAACCTCACAGACCATCAATTAACTTTAATTGCGTGAACACTCAATACCGGTATTCGTTTGCAAATATAAATGTGGTCATAGTTGACAAGAATATTTATATTAGATGCCATTCTAAGAAACTTTATTAGCAATCAAAGGATTTTCCGAGTGTTGGTCTCATTATCTAATCCTTTATTTACCTTTTTTAGGGATTTAAGAAAACGTTTATGTAACACTGAATAGCGATATAATTCCCCCCGTATTAAAACTAGCCCAATTACGTATTAGCATAAAAGAAATATGACATGATCCGATTTTTAAGGAAAGTTTAGTTATCGTTATAGAAATATCCATCTATAGAATACTCTTTTGGACATTTGTATTGATTTGATTAACTTGCACGGACGTATGAGCGCTTAAACCACAAAAAAATGGTCTTAGCTTTTATGAACACGTATAACAATCTCATCTTAATTTGTTTTAATCAATCTGGTAGGTTCTAGGCAAAAAGCATTCGATCATTTGATCAAATATATTTGCAAAGAGAAAAAACTTTTATATGATGCTTTATATTGAATAATAGAAAGTACATGAAATATATTTATTTTAAAATTAAAAAAAAAAAGATAAAAGCGAAATTTACAATAATTTTATCCAAGGCGTCGCAAAAAAATTTATATGAACCACATGATGCTCATTACATATTTCGGAATGCTAACATTTTATGTGATGGGATTAAATTTCAGCCGAATTATTACAAACAGATTTAAACGGTAGAATTTTTAATGTATCGCAATTTCGAGATAATATTTTATGTAATTATTATAATAAATTTGGATTCTAAATTTGATTACCGAAAGATTATCTAATGCTTGAAAGGCATGTTCGCACTTTTCGTGAAACCTGTCATTGGTATTACTTTCTTCTAGAATATCAGTTTGACCTAGAACTAATCTATAATGTCACGAGATGACATATGCAAACTTTACCTACCAATGATTTATTGACTTTAATTAATATTGCTTGGTTTCAGACGTTCACGCACCAAGCATCACAAGATTCTATTTGAGAATTTCCGTTTAAATACTTAGTTTTAGGTTTATATTTTATTTGAGATCTGTAACAAACACCTTTACTAATACTCTAAATCCACTTTAATAATTTCCGATATGAAAATCACTTCTTTTATGTCTCATTGTGTAGTGTATTAGAATGAAAAGTCTGCAAAGAATAAATTTGTTGATACAGCCAAATATACGTATGTTATATATATATATTAAATAATCTATAAAGGTTAACTCTGAAAGAGGTTAATTTACCGAATATGATCGTATATCGAAAATTTCAATTGCCGGAATAGGAAATTCCGGATTTTGTTTTTTTACTCGTCACTTGTTAATTGTGATGATACGTGCGCAAACCTTAATTTTTTGCGTCTTCAATGGTATTTAACCCCACACATATGAATCAGTACTATCACCGAAAAAGTATTAAAACCTTCGTTATCACAGACTACCTCCTTTTATCAAGCATTGCATCACTGAAAATTCCAAAGAAAAATATTTTAATCAAATTGTCGACCTTCTTACATATAAGAAAATGGTTTCATTCGCAATCTTATGTATTGTAAATACTTTATGGGTGATTGCCCTTTGTTCGGCTATATATCTCACAATTGCATTTTACCGAGCGCGACGAAATCCACTGCTTGCGGTCTTTTGTTTTTCATATGCAATAATGGCAGTGGTTGACCTGCTTGGCTTAATATATCATGATGATATGAGTACGGCACCATATTGGGTCTGTTTTGCTCAAGGGTTAATTGTAAGTTTTTACTTTTTTTTTTTTGATAGTTAGTAGTTTCGAAGCTTTCGGAATTTCTAAATTCAGATTTATTATTATTGTCTTAATAGTTCCAATTCACCAGCTATGTGCAAGCGGCATCTGCATTTGGTTTTGCGATGCAAACCTACAGACTATTAGTTCTCTGTAAACAAGAATCTGTAAGTTAATAATTGATTCGTTGTTTGTTTGATGCTGGCAGAGATGCTTTTGCTAATCTATGAAACCTTCAAATCAATAGGGATGGGAAACAAGAAGAGCTGATATTATTCTCCTAATTTTTTATCCATTAATACTGATAGTAGTGCTGACGACAGTTTGCTTAAAGTATAAAGCTATCGGACCTCAAGCGACGCACTGGTATTTAAGAAAAATGTATTTTTTGAATTAAAATAATAAAGTCTATTTATTTACTTTTCTGTTCGTTCAGTGATGTGGTAGACCCACCGTGGATAAGATTAATCGGTTACTCCGGCAGTAATTTAGTTATAAGTACCATAGGAATGTATATAAGCGGTAAGTAATTTATTGAACTAATGTAAATTTATTGTACTTTGACTGATGAAATAACAAAATTCATTTAGGTCGGTCTGCATATGCATTAATCACGCATCTTGCACTATTTCGTTCGACTATGGAATCAAAATCAACAGTAACTAGTGGAAGTCAAGAAAGTACCAATCGATTGCCAGCCGAAATTTACACGCAAAACGAAAATAACGCAGATGACGAAACGGAGATGAGTACCAAAGAAATTGAACTCTCCAAAATTGCTAGTCCAGATACTTCAGTCTCAATTAAAATAGAAACCGGTGGCGTCCAATTATCCACACCCTCATCACGAGTCACTCAAAGGCGATATTCAGTGACAAAAGGAGCAGCTATACGGATGGTTTCAGTCTCGGTGCTATTTATTTTGATAAATTTTCTCGCGTCAATCGAAACAATAAGTGCTGTTCTCAGAGGAAAGTCGTTCAAAGATCGTCATTTAAGAATCAGTCACCTTGTTGGACCGTTGATCGGTATTTCACTTTTCTTGGTTTTTGGCACTGGGCGAGAGATGCGAAAAAATTTTACCCAAACATTCAGATCGATTCGTAATGGTTTGAGACGGTCATCTAATCCGGGTATTAGTCGTTTTGAATAACTAATTAGTTCGAATATATAGTGGGTTGGGGGGTTCGGGTACAAAAATACTTATTAAAATTATACGTACGTTACTTTGTGATTATTTATAAAACCTCTAAATCTAAATTATCACACTAATAAAATATCAGAAATATCTGATGACCTTTTTTTTTGAATAATAATTGTGGGGGATCATGATGAAAAACGGATTATGGTGAAAATTTTGGCCAAAATTGTGCAGATCATGCGATCATTTGGCCAGAATTATCGATAATTTCTTATAATAAAAGAGCAATACGTATTTTGAACATAAATTTGTGAGTATAATTGTTATTTATAATATGGTGCATAAATCTAAAGTCATCAAACGTTTGTATTTATAAAATGGATAAACTTCTTTACTAAGAAGTAAATACCAAATTTAATCCGTGAATATGCTCAGAAAAGGCCTATTCTATCATATTCACGGATTAAATTTTGTATTTACTTCTTAG